GACAAGGACAAAGGTGGAGACCAACGAGACGACAGTACTAACGAAAATATGGGAAGTAAACGAAGAGAAAGAGATGGAGTGCCACCATGTGTAACTTACATTCCTTGTTGGAGAAACGTTGATGACAGTGAAAACGATCTACTTTTATCTTCTTTGTCGCTAAGTGTAGGAAACATGATGAACTTCTCTGGTCTATTGAGAGTTCTGAAAATGGTCTATTCAGTTTCTAACTTGCCATACGGATAAAGTCACCGTTGAACTTCTCATAGACGAACATGACTACAAGTAGTGAGTCTAAAGGGAAGAGCTGAATTGAAGAAAGTCATCCTTGCCGTTTGTTAAACTTTGCCTTCAAGTAGCAGTGAAGAGAAAAGAAGAAACTTGACGTGGAAGTCCGGAGGGCCTACACCTGCAAGAAGGTACTCAGCTGCTTGACGGAATGGTGTAGCGAAGGAGTAACTCACTGTTTGAACTTTGGACTTTGATCTACAGGTCATGAACCGCTACTGAACGATCCACAGTTGCTAACTAGACCGATAAGTTGTTGTAGCACTCAGTGCGAGAACAAGGTCAGGGAGTGAATCGAATGACAGTCGCTAACGTGAGCAAATACACCCATTATGTCAACCAGGTCAGTCCGTGCAGTACCTGGCTCGTTTCTACCAAGCATGTGCACACACGCTAGCTCTCAACCGTGTCACTCAGCCTGATGACCTAGCTCTGGAGTAGGCATAGTCACAATCTGCAATATAAGTGATACTAATGCTGTAGGGGATTTCAAATAGACCTATAGCACATGATTGTATTTTTACTTACTGAGTGAGTTGTCCGTTCCTTTAAAGATCTTCTTCAAACGTTGGCTGAGTGGGCTGACTGGAATAAGTAGGTCCTTGAGAGAAGGAGAGCGTTATGCTGAACTTGTTATTTACTGAGAGAGCGTTATGCTGAACTTGTTATTCACTGAGAGAGCGTTGTGCAGAACTTGTTATTCATTGAGAGAGCGTTGTGCTGAACTTGTTACTCTCTGAGAGAGCGTTGTAGCCACTACAGACTGATTAGTAGTTGAGAGAAAGAGTAACAATGACTGGAAAAGATAATGCACGTCTAACAAAGGTAGGTCAGAGGGACTGTTCAACAACACTAGAAGACGTTTGAAACAAAAGAGAAAGGCAGGGAGACGAAAACGGACAACTGGACTGTGCCTTGAGAAATGGATGACTGAGCGGTGCTGACCATCAATAGCGATGTGATCTGATGTTTGAACGAATCGTGCATCACATGCATGTGGTAAATGGCAAGAGATGCTCAATGTCTGGCAGACCACGGACGGCCATCTACTCATACATTACTGATACTGCTTTAGCTTTGTGGCTGTGTGCCTTAGCGAGAACTCAGGCATCTTTTGTTCGCAGCATTGCGTGTGTGCGTTTGTCATTGTGTTGTCACGTGATATGCTACACGTCTGCACGATGTCGTCCCGCTCTGCACAGACTGAGACCAAAAAAATGTGTTGTTTACCTAGTCATTGGTGAGAAGAATCACATTCACACATGTAGACTACACACATAATGGGGGACCTACCCCATTACCACATAACAACACTACCTGGAACCAATCACGATTCAATGCTACGCTCTTCTCATCAAATATGGACAAAGAGCTGATGACATCATGTCTTAGGGCACAGTCCCATACAGACCAGGGTGGTGTTGGTGTTGTCAATCTGATTGTCGTAAAATTCTATTTTATAACTGGTTGTTGCTAAAAACATGTCACCATAATGGCATGGCGGCTCTGAGCAACTTGACAATGACAATGCAGACACTGTACTCGTAGTGAGTTGCTTGAGTGTGGTCTTGGGTGTGGTACGTCTTGTGTGTGGTTTGGTGTAGTACTCAGCAACAGACTGTACATTCGGGTGTTCGTACGTGAGCAGATCTACTGTATGTGTAAGCATGCAATGGTGTGTTGGAACCTTGGACTTGGAGGGCTGTTGCTGTTGTTGTTGCTGTCTTTTCCTCTGGCATGTGAATGTGCGTGAAAAGCAACCTGTAGTATATGTTTATTTTGCCAGTAAAATGGGCTAAAGTAATTCCACCTCCACCAAACACGCTCTCTGGCCAACCTCACACACCTGTCACACCAGCAACATGAATCCAAGGCTTTTGGTGGAGAGCGCGTTTGGTGGATGGGTAATTACTTTATTGATAAACAAGCCGAAAGCTGCTGCTTGTCCTTTGAGAACGTAAAAAGGTTTGTCCTAGTAAACAAATACAGCATAACGTAAAAAGGTTTGTCCTAGTAAACAAATACAGCATAACGTAAAAAGGTTTGTCCTAGTAAACAAATACAGCATAGCGTAAAAAGGTTTGTCCTAGTAAACAAATACAGCATAACGTAAAAAGGTTTGTCCTAGTAAACAAATACAGCATAACGTAAAAAGGTTTGTCCTAGTAAACAAATACAGCATAACGTAAAAAGGTTTGTCCTAGTAAACAAATACAGCATAACGTAAAAAGGTTTGTCGTAGTAAACAAATACAGCATAACGTAAAAAGGTTTGTCCTAGTAAACAAATACAGCATAACGTAAAAGGGTTTGTCCTAGTAAACAAATACAGCATAACGTAAAAAGGTTTGTCCTGGTAAACAAATACAGCATAACGTAAAAAGGTTTGTCCTAGTAAACAAATACAGCATAACGTAAAAAGGTTTGTCGTAGTAAACAAATACAGCATAACGTAAAAAGGTTTGTCCTTGTAAACAAATACAGCATAACGTAAAAAGGTTTGTCCTAGTAAACAAATACAGCATAACGTAAAAAGGTTTGTCCTAGTAAACAAATACAGCATAACGTAAAAAGGTTTGTCCTAGTAAACAAATACAGCATAACGTAAAAGGGTTTGTCCTAGTAAACAAATACAGCATAACGTAAAAAGGTTTGTCCTAGTAAACAAATACAGCATAACGTAAAAAGGTTTGTCCTATTAAACAAATACAGCATAACGTAAAAAGGTTTGTCCTAGTAAACAAATACAGCATAACGTAAAAAGGTTTGTCCTAGTAAACAAATACAGCATAACGTAAAACGGTTTGTCCTAGTAAACAAATACAGCATAACGTAAAAAGGTTTGTCCTAGTAAACAAATACAGCATAACGTAAAAAGGTTTGTCCTAGTAAACAAATACAGCATAACGTAAAAAGGTTTGTCCTAGTAAACAAATACAGCATAACGTAAAAAGGTTTGTCCTAGTAAACAAATACAGCATAACGTAAAAAGGTTTGTCCTAGTAAACAAATACAGCATAACGTAAAAAGGTTTGTCCTAGTAAACAAATACAGCATAACGTAAAAAGGTTTGTCCTAGTAAACAAATACAGCATAACGTAAAAAGGTTTGTCCTAGTAAACAAATACAGCATAACGTAAAAAGGTTTGTCCTAGTCGAACCTGCAAACTACCGCCCTATCTCTTTTCTTCCCTGCGTGTCCAAAGTATGTGAACGCATCTTTTATGACCACTTATACAGACATGTTTCGCCGTTTCTGAGTCCCGCACAATCTGGGTTTCGTAAAGGCGACTCCACCTCTCTTCAACTGACCCGCATCGTGCAGCAGGTGTTCCAGCATAGGGATAACAGAGCGCTTGCTGGCATTTGCTCCTTTGACTTGGCCAAGGCTTTTGATACCGTCTGGCATCGAGGACTTTTGGCAAAGCTCGAGCATGCATTCAGGGTACGCAAACAGCCACTCTCCTGGCTGAAATCTTATCTCTCTGGGCGTTATCAGTACGTAACTGTGCTTGGCACATCCTCGGCTGCAGAGCCAGTATTGTCGGGCGTTCCTCAAGGATCAATTCTTGGTCCCCTACTATTTATAATTTACGTAAACGACTTACCTGCAGTCTTCCCTGGAACGTCTCTGTTTGCTGACGACACGACCCTTCTCACCTCATCAGCTTCCCTCACTGGCCTGAAAAACAACTTGCGTGCTGGCATTCAGGAAGTTCTTTCCTGGATGTCGTCCTGGAGGTTGTCCCCAAATCTATCAAAAACAAAGATCATGCTCTTCCCGCCCCAGCCGGAGTTCACAACCCTCATCCATGCCAACTTTCCAAATCCAATTGACATAGTGTCTTCTCACAAACACCTTGGCATTGTGATTGACTCTGCACTCTCTTGGGTACCTCACATCGAATATATCTGTAAAAAATCAAGTAAATCCTTAGGAATTCTCTCCCCCCACTGCTCCTACCTCCCACTTTCTTGCAAGCTTCTTTTTTATTTCGCCTACCTTCGCCCAATATTTCATTATGCAGATACGTCTTGGGTTGGGTTATCCTCTTCCGCTGCTGCAAAGCTTGAAATACATCACAAGAAAATCCTTAAAATTCTCCTCCGTCAACCCCGCATGCTCTCATCATCCGCCCTTTATAAAATCGCTCACACAACCCCGTTATCACATGGACGCAGTGCACACATGGCTTCTCTTGTCCATTCTATTAAGCTTGAATTTTGCCCACCTCATCTCATGTGTTTTAATTGGTTCTCTTCTCTAAGAACTAGAAACTCACTCTTACTCCCTAAGTGTAACTCATCCACTCTTTTGCGCTCCCCTCTCTTTATTGCTTATTCTGTTTGGCTCACTCTACCCAGAGAAGTTAAGGACCTGACCTCACTCCGCCTGTTTAAGATCCGTGCCGCCCCTTATTTACTACGACATGCATAGCTCATTATCCACATGTCCTTTGCGTCTCTGTGTTTTTCACTGTTTTTATTTGACATTATCTTTCTCTTTCTTTACGGAGTTGTTGCTGTTCATTTTGCTACTCTTTCTTTTTCCCTCCCCTAACTTTTATTTATCGCCGTGGTTGGCAATCACCCACTCTCTTTAACATTGGCCGGTGTTTCCACCGAGTCTTGAGATGTTGTAATAAATATATATAAAAAAATACTCAATCTGCGGACAGCATACTGTTTCGTTCTTTTTGAACTCATCAGCGCAGCACAGAGGAAATGAGGCCGAACCTGATAGCAATGGAAATAAAAATTTCCAATCAGGCCCGAACGTACCTTGCCAGAGTGCTCAAACTGACAAGTCAGTGAGCTCTGCATAACGCAAACAGCAAAGGCACTACCCCACGCAAGAGTGCTCAACTGCTACAAGAGCAGGAGCGAAATACTCAATCTGCGGACAGCATACTGTTTCGTTCTTTTTGAACTCATCAGCGCAGCACAGAGGAAATGAGGCCGAACCTGATAGCAATGGAAATAAAAATTTCCAATCAGGAACAAACGGCGAGGAGACAACAATTTGATAACCGCAATCAGTAATACAAGCTGGATCGACATTTGTGTACACTGTATTCATGTATTGTAAAACTGTGGAGACAATGTGCAATAAAACGATGAAAAAATGTGAAGAAATTTTGTAGAGAAAGAAAGGGATTCAAACAAGTTTTCGTACAACACTCATCAGGAATCATCGTTGTACTAAAGGACACTGAAACAAAAATTGAACTATTATAGAAAATCTAAGTTAGAGAAATAACACTAAGAGCAACAACAGTGAAATTTACAAGTGTGAATTTTAACAATCAAAGCGAGAAATGAACAAAGGAGAAAGGAAGGAAAGACAACGTGATAACACATAACAGCAGTACATTACACCTAGAACATTAACGGCCAAGCTTGGCCGCACTAAACACGACACGTTACTTGAACAATTTCAACCCAATTATACTATCTTTCTGTACACACAAATTAGGCTTGTACAGACGCTGATAGATAGCTTCCAACACTTTTAACTGTAGTCCATAACCATGACGACCACGGCACAATACAGTGAACGAAGAGTCAGAATACGCACCGCAACAATCAGGACTAGCCAGCAGATGATTGTACACTGAAGACTTGCTACCACGAAACCTACGCACAACACTAACACTCTCACCGGCACTCTCACCATCACTCCCATCACTGCTCTCCGACTCACTGCTCCCTCCGCCGTCCGTTCCATCCTCCGCTTCCTCTGCACTCTCTCTGTCTCGTCCATCCCGCCTGACCGGGTCCATTGAACTCAACTCGGCCGTCCCCCTGCTATCACGTCCCTCCTTTCGCCCTCGTCCGCTGAGTGCGTAGCTTCTGTTGTAGTTGGCTGTTGATCGTCTTGGTCTTTCAATTATGGGCTTGGATGGTGGATTAGTTGTGGTTGCTGTAGATTGCGT